AAATATAATTAAATTTTTTTTTATATAAATTTTATTTTTACATAAACGTAAGATCTATTCTATCGTCTATTCCATCGTATGTAGAATATGTTCTGTAAGGCTAAATGATATTTACAAGCGTTATAAGCGTAAAACTCGGAACGCATCTTTAATTGTATAATGACATGCGTACGCGCATGCGATCACTAAGTCATGATGTCTAGCGATCCTTGAATATCCTTGGATTCTGGAATTATACTGGAATTTTATTCTGGAAAATTCCTAGAAAACCCCCTGAAGTTTCAGAGCTTGCCTAAAATTTCATTATCATTCTTTCATTCTAAAAAAATTAACATAAAAAAAGAAAAAATAATAAGAAGAAAAGTTGTGCTTGAGTATAAGTCCTCCTTTAAAGATGCAATAAGTTACTAATAGAAAATGAGAAACTTGAATTCAACGTCTAAAATACTTAGTAGAAAAATTGTTTGTATCGATGGATGTTCCTTTGATATCATTTAGTAAGCAAGAAATAATATTGTTCCAAATTTATTAGCGTTTTAATTCATTCGTATAGAATTCTAACTTAAATACAATGCATATAATATACAAATCGATGAAAATTAATTAAATAATGAAAATTAATCGATGAAAAAATCAAAATTTTGTGGAATGTACTGGATCTTTGAATTGACTAGTCAGATTTTGTCAACATGCTAAATGTAATATAAAATAAGATTTTATTGCAAAATATTAGAAAGAAGCGACTGAGCATAAATGAGTGACTAAATTTAATTGTAAATTTCTTTGCAATCCTAAAATGAAACTAATTTCATTAGTTTAAAAAAAATAAAATGGAAGATTATAAAATCATTTTCATAATTTTATTTTTTAAAAAAAGAATCAAATGATGTTTCACGATTCTAGCGCAAAAATCTTTTTAAATGTTGTACGTAAGATATTTTGAAATATAACAATGAATAAATTCTTGATAAATATTTTATAGATGAAAAGAGTAGAAAAGCGTTCATGTATTTTATATGTCAGTGTATATACTTTTTGAAAAAAAAGTTATGCTCAAATCTAGATCATTTTCTCGATAATGATAAATATAGCTTCAATGCGTAGGACTTTTTTCGAAAACCTTATCGAGAGAAATCGAAACGGTCCTATGACATTTTGCCATGTTTCGTCGCTGTTTTTGAAATGACTTATTCAAATCTGTGCCTAACTTTTTATCAAAGAGTGTATATAATATGTACGCGCGCGCGCACGCATACTTATGCAAAATTTTGTTAGTATTATTTTCGCATTATTATGAGACTGAAAGTGCTAAAATAATAATCAGAGAAGGTACTTTTTATTTTATCATTATTCATCATTTATCGATATAAATCGACATGTCGGCAATAAAAAAAAAGAAGTTGAAAGAACGGAAAGAAGTAATTTGCAATTCATGAAATTCGTAAATATAAAAAAGTTAAATATTATATCATATACATATATTTAACCGTATGATTACATATAAAGCGAATCTTACCGGTGTTTTATTTCAAATTTGTCCGCGCATTGTTCCGATTGGCCGAGGTGAGGGAGTAGTCACCCTTTAGACTGTGCGAACAGTGCAAAATGGTGGTGACGCGCGCTCGCAGCGTCGCACAGCATCAAGCGTCAACCGTCAACAACGTCAACCGCGTTTAGTGGTTTAGTCGATGCGCGCCAGCGCAGTTTGTAACCGGTATTGTATAGTAGTTGGTACGCGGATACATCAGGGTACACCTGCTTTCGTTCTCTCCGCTTCTCTCCGCGTAGAAGAGAATCAAGAGCAGAGGAGAAACGCTAAGCTAAGTGGCTCGTGCATCAAAAGAAAGACAAATCAAAGAATATCTTGAGAGAAAGGTGAGCCCGTGGAAGGTGAGCCCGCGAGAGATGAGTACTCCGGTGAAGAAGGTACCCATTCATCTGCAGGTGAGTACGTTTTAGCCAGTTTTAGCACCTGCTATGCAAACTCCCCCCCCCCCTCCCCGCTGCGTGGCTGTTAATTTTGCGCTGAAGAAAAGGCACATTGTTATTTTTATCTATGTGCAATGACGATTTTATCTATATGATGAGCGAGGAACAGTAGTAGCTCGATAAATTGCGATAAATTAGCTCTTCATAGGAAGCGTTGCTTGTACTTTTTACAGTGTCTTCTTTCTCTTCAACCCCTAAATACATATATGTAAATTTATCTCATTTTAAATACACAAATTTTAAGATTTCAAGCAATGTGTGCGAGTAAAGTAACTTATAAAGATCACGGGTTCAATTTCTACCCTCTACGCTCTGAAATCTCGTCGTCGCGCTGCTGGGCGTTAACAAGATTTTCTTCTGTTTTCGTGTATCGAAATAAAAATTGTTAAACAACATTCCACAAATTTTTCAGAAAATTATATTCATCTTGATCGAGAGCGAATCTTTTTTCTACAATATTTTAACATTCTACAATATTTTAAATGCGTGTCGTGAAAGTCTTCATCATCGAGAGTATCATATATTCTATGGAGAAAGAAATTTTTGAACAAAATTATTTTTGAAAAAAATATTAAACGTTGAGAGAATCATATCATTGATTTATCAAAGAGTACATTCGTCGACGTTAAAAATTAAAATTGAATTAAACTAACAATCGTTAACTCTAATTGCGTTTTAATTTTTATCTCACTTTCTCCTAAATGAATTAAAGTCTGCACTTTTCAATTTTACCCACTTTTGCGCTTTCTAATCGTACCAATTTTTCTACTTATACTTAAAATAATTCGATTTATTCGAAACAGAGTACTTGTACGTACGTAATAATTAAACTTGTATTTTTTTAGAATTGTTTGCAGCTTGCTTTAAAATATCACAAAAATTATTACATTTGTACGTACATACCCAGATAGCCAAGTCTGTAGAAAACAGATTTTTTTAAATGTCTGCTACATACTGCTATGCCAACAAAATAACAATAGAATTAGATGTACATAATACTGTTGACAGATTGCTAGAAAAAATGTAACAGAATCTGCAAGCGTCAGATAATGTCGGCAGGATCTGCTCAGTTTCTGCCAACAATTTGCCTTTATGTTATATCGACAAGCGATGTTAACAGAATACCTAATGCGGACGCAATTGATGGCAGACTGCCGTCATTTTCTGCTCGAATCTGCTGAGAGTCTGCTAGAAGACTGCAGACATTTTGTTATCTGGGTACGTACTGGAATTTTACGAAAGTATGAAATTTACTGTGGGAATGAGAAATCTGCATTAATATACCTACTAATTAATAAACAACAACGATATTTGTAATCGGTAATTGATAGATTTAAACGGTATCGATATATTTTTTGTTAATATCCATTAATATCCGTTAATAGTTGTCCGTTTATAGTTTGGATTTGAAAAATATATGATACGACTTAATCGTGCTCCCGATCGCATGAGAACTCTTAGCGATACCGTTTATCTTATTGAGGTTATCGTTTGCATATGACATAATATGCATTTAATCGGAGTAACACGACTGCTAGAGAGTACTCGTTCTATTTTTTGAATTTTATATATGTGCATGCGTGTTTATATCTTGTTAGATAAGTGATAAATTATTGACTTTACTTGGTACATCACTATCATCATTTATTTTTTACGTATCAGACATTTTTTAATCAATGAAAATGTTTATAACGTTTGACGCAAATACGATACAATTATGATGATATGCGATTTAAGCAATAATTTATACGTATATATCACATTATGTGCATAAAAATAAATTGTTAACTTTTTTTAACGAATTCTCTCTGATATAGATAAAGTTATTTGTTTGATTTATATTTTGAGATTTTTTTTCTTTTAAATTAACTATTTAAAAATTTTATTGTTTTTTGGATATTTGTCAAATTTCTCGGATAAAGATCAATTAATCAATCAGTTGCTACATTTAGAAGAAAATGCATCTCGGTGCGCTCTTCTTTTACGTCTCATCATTACTTCAATTGGTATATCAATATAAACATCGCAAGCCTCATATATATATATATATATATTTG